TCTGGGTGGTCAGGGTCGCTGGTGAGCACACCGCTCTCCAGGTGCTTTGCATGTGCCCGACAGGTAACAGGCGCAGAGCAAACGAACCATGAATGAATAAATGAATGAAAGGTTCATTCAGCTAGGTAAGGAAAGCTGGCATATGGGCAGAGACGGGGAAGGGGTGCTGATTTAGGCCAAGGGGCCCCCAAGCCGGGGAATCCGCACTCACCTACCTGCTCGATCTCCCGGCAGCGCCGACCTAGCGCCTGGTACTTCCTTCGATTTAGTTCTCGCTGGCGCCGCCGCTGTCCCCGGGCGGCCTCTTCCTCTTCATCTCGCTCCCGGAGCCCAGAGCCGCCCAGACCCCCAGACACGAACTCCACTTCTGTCTCCAGCTCGCTCTCCAAGATGTGACCACCGAACAGCGGAGGCAGCGCCAACTCTGAGCCTGGCGGCGCTGAGAACTCCTCAAAGCCCACGGCTGCCATGGTCCTGCAAGGTCAGGGGGCTCAGGGACCCTGAACTCCCGGCCCCCAGCCCCCTCCGGATCCTTCAGATCCTAGAGTCCCACAGGAGTCCGAGCCCCATCCCTTCGTCCCAGGATCCAGACCTCCAGACTCTTGCTCCCCGAGGATCCGAAGGAGTTCAAGCCCCCAGCCCTTCGTCCCAGGATCCAGGAGCCCAGGCTCCCGACCCCTGGGCCTAGGATCCAAAACTCCGGACCGTAGCTTTCTCCCCGCGGATGGCCCAGCACAGACCCTGGTCCCTTAAGAGCGCTAAGCGAAAGCAGTTGCATGAACTACAATACCCATCCACCCTCAGCTAAAAGCGCAGACGGCTGCACGTGCTGCAACCGCAATGTCTCTTGGGAGTCGTAGTTTTATGCAAAGCCACTCACCCCTCTCTCTGTTCCAGTTCCATGTCTGTCTCCCTCTCCGGACGCCGCGGGTCTCAGAACTTCCAACCTCGCAAACCTCCAGGTTAAGTCTTTCGCAAAACTACTTGTCCCATCAGGCTTTACGGCCAAGGCATCCGGGACTTAGCCGCTAGGCCTTCTGGGGGTTGTAGTTCCCTATTTTCGGCTTCACTCCCCACCCCCTCCACCTCCACCCCGAGTCCCGGCTTAAAGGCCTTGCTTTCTCGTCGCACTCCTCTCCTAGTCGTCCGAGTTACCCCGGTCTTTATTCTTGTCTCGGCACCTTCTCGCCCGGCTACGGCGATTCTCCGCTTAGCAGCCTCAGTCCTCGGCAGGCCGTAAACCGGACAGATCCGTCTCCTCTCGGACTCACCGCTTCTCCGCCTAGCGGCAGGAGCTAATAAAGTTGTTGTTCCAAAGGCAGCCCGGGGCGGGAGCCAATCAGAGCGCAGCTTTGCCGCGACGACGGCGCGAAGCTGAGACGTAATCGGTGAGCGTCAACCGCTGTCGGGAAGCGACTCGCCTAGAAACCGTCTTGCCGGCTGGGAAGAGGTGTGTGCGCTGCGGACGCGGGGAGGGCGGGAGCCCTGATTCCTGGGGCCAGGGGCCGACGTGCGCAGGGAGGCAGGAGGGTCTCATACGCGCAACTGGACTTCTGAGGCTTGTCCCCATCTGCCGCCTCAGGGGCCAAATCTGTCCCGTGATCCGTTGGGTTTGGCCTGTATTGCGGGGATTTCGGGGGTTATAGTTTTAAATTATCCACTTAAATGATCGCATGGAAACTTTGAAACAGAGATTCTGCGTCAAAGTTCTGAATCTCTTTTGTTGAAGAAAGAGCACCTGACAACACGTTTGGCCGCTTGGCCAGGCGTGTCTGCAGCTGCGCCTCGGCTGCGCGTTTACATTGGCCGTGAGGCCCCCTGTGTCCGAGTCCCGCTGCTCCCGGGGGCCCAGCCCCCAGCGTGCTTCACTCGACACATTACCCATGCAGCCTCTGTTTTTATACTTCCTTCCAGGGACGGCAGTGTAGAAGAGAAGGAAATGAGGAAGGGGAGTTGTTTTATGGAAAGGAAGGAGGAACGGGAAGGAGGAGAGGTGTTTTACGTTAAAAAAACAAACAAACAGTGGGATTGTATCTTGATGAGTAGTGTTTCCCATTCTTTTCCACCCTCTGGGACTCAAAGAAAATACTGATTTTGTCCAGCGCTTGGAGTACCTGAGGAGGCTGCTCATGGCCAGAGGGGACCGGCCTGGGGGCTCTAGACACCTTAGGCCCCACCTGGTTGCCCTGTTGTCTAGGGAGATCAATATTTTAGGATATCTGTCACTCTTTTGGGGCCCTACAGTTTTGGGGAGGGGTCTCTGTTATAGGAGAAAAAAGGATCCTAGGAGACGTCCAGTCTCAAAGAGAGGATGTGAATTTTTTTAAGCCTTAAGTGGTGGCATGAGGGGCGTGCTGTGTCTTGCCCAGTGACATGAGTGTGAGAAGGGTGGGTGGTGGGAGCTATGACCGGAGACCACCTGGTTCTGGGAGGTTTGTTCATGGAGTGATTCACTGGGTATTTATTGAGCATCTATTACATGCCAGGCACAGTTAGAAGCTGAAGAACAAAGCAGATGAAAACACCTGTCCTTATGGAGCTTGCTTGCTCGTGGGGTCGATCCAATAAGGACCAGGGCCTTCTTGGGGAGAAGCC